TAAGTATTTTATTTTTCTGACCTTGTTATGAATAGAATTTTTATATTTCCATTTAAAATTTTATTTTACAGTTGTTTGCTGCTGGTACATAACATTCAACCTATTTTTATATATATTGATCTTGCTAAATTTACATATTATTTTTAGTTTAGTTGTTGTAGTTGCTTTGTAGATTTCTTAGGGTTTTCTACATAGATAATCATGTCATCTCAAAATAGGGACATTTTTATATTTGTATTCCATTTGTTTCTTGCTTTGTTGCACTGCTTAGGACCTCTGGTACAATTAAATAGAGGGACAGGTTAATCCAAAAATCTTAAATAGGAAATGCTCCAAAACTAAAAGCTTTTTGAATGCTGACATGAGGTAGTGACACCTTTGCTTTTTGATGGTTCAATGTACGTAAACTTTGTTTCATGCACAAAATTATTTAGAATATTATATAAAATTACCTCCATGCTATGTGCATAATGTGTATATGAAACATAAATGAATTTCATGTTTAGACTTGGGTCTCATCCCCAAAATATCTCATGATACAGTATAGATGCAAATATTCCAAAATCCTAAAAAGTCTGAAATCCAACACACTTCTGGTCTCAAGCATTTCAGATAAGGGATACTCAATCCATAATGAAAGAAAATGTTTTTGCCTTGGGCCTAACTTAAGATCAGGATGGTAAACTATCTTAGATATGATGTTCGTTGCAGGTTTTTCATTGAAGGACTTTATCAGATGACGTTTTCTTACATCCCTGGTCTCCTGAGAGTTTTTGTCATAAATTGGTATTAAATTTTATCTAATATTTTCCTGCATCTTATATGATTTTTTTCTCCTTTATTTTGTTAATAGGATTTTTAATTTTTTTTTTTTTTTTTTTTTTTGAGACAGAGTCTCGCTTTGTTGCCCAGGCTAGAGTGAGTGCCGTGGCGTCAGCCTAGCTCACAGCAACCTCAAACTCCTGGGCTCGAGCGATCCTTCTGCCTCAGCCTCCCTGGTAGCTGGGACTACAGGCATGTGCCACCATGCCCGGCTAATTTTTTTTTTTTATATATATATCAGTTGGCCAATTGATTTCTTTCTATTTATAGTAGAGACGGGGTCTCGCTCTTGCTCAGGCTGGTTTTGAACTCCTGACCTTGAGCAATCCGCCCGCCTCGGCCTCCCAAGAGCTAGGATTACAGGCGTGAGCCACAGCGCCCGGCCTGTTAATAGGATTTTTAAATGTTAAACCAACATTTCATAGCTGGGATAAACCCTACTTGGTCATAATGTATTATTATAATTTTTATATATTGTTGGATTTGGTTTACTGTATTTTGTTAAGGGTTTTTGTATCTATGTTCACAATGATTATTAGTTTGTAGTTGTAGTTTTCTTTTTCACAATTTCCTTGTCAAGTTGTGAAGTCAAAGTCATTCTGTCATTATAAAACAAGTTAGGAGATAATACTCTGGAAAAGTTTGGGTAGGATTGCTTTTATTTGAAATGTTCAATAGAATTTGTTAGTGAGACCATTTGAACCTAGAATTGTCTTTGTGGGAATTTTTTGATAATTAATTTAACTTTTTAAATAGATATGGGACTATTCAAATTTTATGTGTCATCTTGTGTCAGTTTTTGTAAGTTTAGATTTTTCAAGTAATTTATCCCTTTCACTGAAGTTGTCATATTTATTGCCATACATTTATCAAAAAGTCCCAAAAGAACAAATGCTGGCATGGATATAGAGAGATTAGGAACACTCTTACACTGCTGGTGGGACTGCAAATTAGTACAACCCTTGTGGAAAGTAATTTGGAGACTTGAAGCTCTGACTTGAGGGGAGTGGGGGAGCAAGGGCAATATATGTAACTTTAACATTTGTACCCCCATAATATGCTGAAATTTTAAAAAATGATTAACAACAACAACAAAAAAAATAGAGATGCCATTTGATCCAGCAATCCCACTACTAGGCATCTACCCAGAGGAAAAAAAGACATCTGCACTCGAATGTTTATGGCAGCACAATTCACAATTCCAAAGATGTGGAAACAATCCAAGTGCCCATCAATATGTGAGTGGATTAATATAATGTGATATATGTATACCATGAAGTACTACTTAGCCACAGAAAACAATGTGAACTAGCACCTCTTATATTATCCTGGTTAGAGCTTGAGCCCTTTCTTTGAAGTGAAGTATCACAAGAATGGAAGAACGAGCACCACATGTACTCACCATCAAATTGGTACTAACTAATCAACACTAAGGTGCTCACATGGTAGTAATATTCATTGGGTGCCAGTCAGGTCGGGAGGTTGGAGAGGGCAAATTTATAACTAATGGAGGTGGAATACACTGTATGGGGAGAAGGAAGGGCACCGTTGTAGCTCTGGCTTGGGAGAAGCAAAGGTATTACATGTAACCAAAATGTTTGTACCCCCACAATATCCTGAAATTAAAAATATATATGTTGTCATGAAGTTATTTTATTTTATTTTTTTTTTGAGACAGAGTCTCGCTTTGTCGCCCAGGCTAGAGTGAGTGCCATGGCGTCAGCCTAGCTCACAGCAACCTCAATCTCCTGGCTCAAGCAATCCTTCTGCCTCAGCCTCCCAAGTAGCTGGGACTACAGGCATGCGCCACCATGCCCGGCTAATTTTTTCTATATATATTATTTGGCCAATTAATTTCTTTGTATTTATAATAGAGACGGGGTCTCGCTCTTGCTCAGGCTGGTTTCGAACTCCTGACCTCCAGCAATCCACCCGCCTCAGCCTCCTAGAGAGCTAGGATTACAGGCGTGAGCCACCGCGCCCGGCTCATGAAGTTATTTTTAGTGGTCACTCATTATCTTTTTAATTTCTGCAGAATCTGTGGTGATATCCCCTCTCTTATTCTTCACATTGGTATTTTGTGTTTTCTCTTTTTTAACATTCTTGGCTAGGGATTTTTGAGTTGTATTAATTTTTTCTTGAAACCAACCTAATGTTGTTTGTTGTCTAATTCATTCATTTCTGCTCTTAAAGTTAATAATTTCTGTCTACTTATTAAGAACCTAATTTTTATTTTTCCCCCTAGAGTCTTAAAGAAAAAAACCTAGATTGATTTTAGCCTTCTTTCTTTGTATACATAAGCTTTTACAATATACAGTTCCTTATAAGCTCTACTTTTGCTGCATACCACAAATTTTGGTATGTTGTTTTCATTATCATTTAAACATATTTTCTAACTTTACTTTTGATTTGTTCTTTGATCTTCCAATATTTCTTATTCTTCAACTTTTTTTCTGATGTCCAGTTATTTTATTGTTACTGATTGTAGATGATACCACGTATTGAGTCTGGATCATGCCATCTTCCTTTAAAAAATGTTGAGTTTTGTTCTGGCAGGCAGTTAAATTATCAGAAGATCCTTGTAGTTTTGTCAGAATTGGCATAATTCCCTCTTAAAGCAAGTCTATTTCAGTTTTGAATTTAGTCTTAGCATGTACTGTCTTTCTCTGGGGCTTAGTCCTTACCTATAAGACGCAGCCTTTTAAATGCTGATGCCCTTAGTAAGGTCTCTTCACCCTGGCTTGGTTGGTTTTCCAGTGTTTGTCAGCACTGACCTCTGGTATCACTCACTGTCCATCTCCTAGTGCCCTAGCAGGTGATCTTTGTTGGGGCTTACTGAATCTTTCCCTGTGCCTGTGCTGCCCAGTCTTTGGCCGAAGCCCTGCAGTGAATGCTCACATAGATGTCTGAAATCTCCCCTTTTCACAGCTCCCTCTTCTCAGCTGCCTTTCCCTAGAAAGCCCGGCTGCTCTCTCAGCTCAGTGAGATTGCTCCCTGTTCTGTGGCTATCAGCACTGGTAAGGCAGAAAGCTGGGATGATCATGGGACTTAACTGGTGAGCTTCTTTTTGCCAAGGATGATATTCCTGTACTACTCCATTCCTGAAAACAACTGCCTCATATATTATGTTCTGATTTATATTTTGGCAAAAAGGCAAATCTAGTATTGGTTATTCTGTCATAGCTGGAAGTGGAAGCTATGTGGTTTTAAGTGTTAAATGAGTTAAGATATAAAAGTTCTATATAAACAGTAAATATACACATATGTGAAAGTGTTATAATGATATCTTTGTTCAGCAAGGATTTATAATTATGTAGACAAGATAAAGGTTGGACTTTACTAGAAACTCTGTGGCTGGGTCACTGAAGCTTCTAGCAGCTACATGTGTACAGTGTATCATAAAATTGACTACACATGTGTCCACACACAGGCGACATATTCTCATTTTTTCCCCTTACCCTCTTCCATCCTCACTTCATTATTTTTGTGTATGTGTTAAAAGCTTTAGTTTTCCTTTCTTTAGTCAGGGAGTGTACTTCTATGGAAAGAGAAAGAAACTCATCCAGCCTGTGAAGGGAAACTTCCACAGTGTATCTTTTTTCCTCTTCAATGTTTAATCCTCCTGGTAATACAGGGGGATGAAGGCCTGTTTATCCCCAGTGATTATTTTAGTGCTGCTTCATCGCTATGGGTTTTCGTGTCCTGTGGGCCAGAAACAAAATTAGGAATCACTGGTCCCACCTGCCTTTTGTTTCTGAAATATGAACTTTTGAAAAAATACTAACCTACCTTGGATAAATCTGTTTAGTGTGACCAAAAAAAGAAAGCATTTTGACCTGTGCTTCTGTATCTGTCCCAATGGCTCTCCCTTACTCTTCTCTATCCTGTGGAGGACTTTGATTTTCAAACTCTTGAAAAGGACATACTCCCTTTGTAGATTTGCCAGAAGGTAATTTGAACACTAACCAAAATGGTGAACTCTATACTAAGCTCTTTTACATTACTTGTTTTTTTTCTCTTTTTTTTTATTTCGGCATATTATGGGGGTATAGATTTTAAGGTTTCAATAAATGCCCTTCCCCCCACACACACAAGTCTGATACATTACTTGTTAAAAGGGTGAAACTGATGGCTCAAGTCAGGTAATGAAAAACTATAGGCATATGCTGATGGGAATTTGAATACAGAGAAATGTGAATGTGTAATAAGCATCTTTGCTTCCTGTGTTTTGGTAGCCAGATGGAGATTAAAGAAGGAATTCTGGGAACACCAGCCTCAGAAGGAGAAGGCATGTAGATTCATTGTCTTGGTATTCTGCTCTCAATGCTTACAGGGCAGGAACCCTATAAGTGTTAAGTACATAACATCTATTTACTAAGATATGGATGTGGTTGTGCCAATGTGTATTTTTCAAATAAAAAAATTTCTCTCTTTGAAGGAAACACTTTAGGGCTAGAGTAATCAGAAATCCAATATTGATAAAAATTTCCTTGTTTTTAATAATTCTGTCTAGATGAATTAAAATTATTGAGTCTGCTTATGAATGAAACCTTTGAATAGTAAGATTTTGATATCTTTTTTCAATTTTGCCTTGTCTATATTTTCCCAGTGTTCCCCTCCCATAATGCCTTTTGCTCTCATATTCTGACATGTTTTTGTGTAGCAATACAAAAAGAAGCAGCTAACAGAAGATGAGATAAAGTTTATTTTTCTTTTAAAAAGAAAGGAAGAAGGTGGGGTTACATTTTTATACATATCTATAAATATAGAATGATAGGCAAAATCTTCCAAATAAATAAATAAATATTGCCACATGCTAAGGGACATAAGAAATTGTGGGGCTCCTTTGGCTCTGTTAAAAAGAAAAACCCTATGGTGGTGTTATATCCATGAGATTACAACCAGTTTTCTAACAAGGTCCTTCTGGGATTTTTCATCTAGTCAACAGTATTGAGGAGCCTCCAATAGCTGTTATATAGGACAATATCCCTGACAGGAAATGAAAACTATTAAAGAAAATATTTGCCATGTATAGCTATAAACTGTTATACATAGTTTTAGTGCTTCGGAATATAAACTGGCCCTTCAAGTTCAGCTTAAAACCTTGTTCAATGTTTCTCTGATAACTAAAAAGAATGCATCAATTTTTAAGGTGGTTTGGTACATGATGGCATTTAAGAAAAAGGTGACTGGGAAGAAGCTGTTGTTTAAATCTACTTTGCTGGTTAAGATTCTGCTCTTCAGGTGGTCATTCAAATAGAAGTAGGAAAAGAGGGGCCCTTGTGGGAAGAATCGCAGTAATGGGGTACAGCTAGGATGAGGGCTCACATCAGTCCCACCTGCCTGGCCTTCTCAGCTGTTTGCTAAGTGAGGCTTTGTTTCCCGCAGGGTGGCACTGGGGCTTCTGTGACTGTCTTCATTTAATGCCCCAAGAATGTCCAAGTGGAAATTCACATAGATGTGTCAGCCTAGAAGTGTTTAAACTAATCCCATAGCCACTGCTACAGAGCACTAATGAGACCATGGTCAAGAGCCTGACAGTGTTCCTTTCATAACTCCTACAGCTTGTACCCTGGTTAGTGGACTTCCTTTTCCCCTGAGTCCTTGATGCCATTTCACTTAGGGAAAAGGACACAATTTTTCAGTCCACAGAAAATCTAACCCAGAGCAGTCCCAGTGTCTCAAGGCCCCTCTCCCCAGTCACATTTTTGTAATTTTCTGGAATGGATAACTACTCAACCTGGAAGTAGAGGCTTAATTAAATGCCTCTTAGGAGAGTCTGAATTTATCTATATTTTGAAAAGCAGGGTAGATTTTCATGAGCTGATACAAACTCCATTCCTCAGGCCAAATTCACTAAAACCAAGGATGGAGACAAGAGGCAAGGCCATATCATGAGCCACTTGGGCACAGAGCAGGTCCATCTCAGCCCTCTGGCTCCACTGCACAGAGGGAGAGAGGCAGGCAAAGGGTGTCCCTGGTGGGGAGGTGAGTGTTCCAGCCCAATTCTGCCCTAGTTCACCCAGCAGTCTAGGGGTCAAGTTTTGACCAGCGACCACCAGTCTTTTTTGACAGCTCTTCCCCAGAGATAATCCAGGAAGAACAAAGGCGTCCTCATCTGCTCGGCCCAGTTCAGCTGTTAATGTCAAGGTTGCAAACGCACCTGCCCCCAGGATCCCAGCACGCGACGATGCAGGGGGCAGTGGAGAGGCTTCTGGGACTGCCGCTTCCCATTCCAAGCAGTGAGTCCCCAACCCACTGCTTTTGCTTAATGCTAAGCTGACTAAGAAGACAGGCACAGAGAAGAGAAATCTGGCGGGGGGCGGGAGGGAGGATCCCTTCTTTCCCCCTTACTGAAGGGGAAATTGGTAGTTTACACGCTGGGTTTCTTATTCAGGACAGCGGTATATGCGGGTGAGGAAGGCGGTGAAACCCAGCTACTCTGGCCCCGCAGGTTGACGCTCAGGGGGCGTCCTGGGGAGGGGAGCAGAGAGGAGCGGCTACTGCCACGGCCACCCCACTCTCCCTTCCTGGCGTGTGAAGGCGGCCGCCCCGTGACGACGGTTTGGTTTGCTGGAAGACAGACTGGTGAAGGAGGTTCCTTTCGGGCTCCCTAAATGTACCTGGGGAAGGGGCGGCACCTTCGGGGGCCGGCGCCCGCGGCGCGTGCGTTCACCCTGTCGCCGCGGAGCACGCCCAGAGGGTCGCGGGCCGCCGCGCTGTCGTCCTCGGCGCTCGGGAGCTCCTGCGAGCAGGAGGCGGGCGCCGGCGTGACGCGGGGCCGCGGCTTCAGCACGCTGAGGGGGTCGGGCTCCTCGTCCTCGGCGCTGCGCGTGTGGCGCCGCGGCCGCGCCGTGTGGAAGAGCAGCAGCGGGAGCTCGTTCCGCCGCGGCAGGAACTGGGAGAAGGGCGGCGGGTTCGCGCCCGGCAGGAAGGCCCGCTTGGCGCGGCCCAGGCTGACCAGGAAGTGGTGCTGAGGCGACTGGTACACGTCGAAGCCGTTCTCCAGCGTCCGCTGTCTGAACCTGCAGCTCTCCGCGCTGAAGACATGCTGCAGGGCGAGAGCGCGGGTGAGGGCCGGCGGGGCGACCCCTCGCGGGCCGGGCTAGCCTGTGTCGCGTCGCCCCGTTGGCCCTTCCCGGGGAAAGGTGGTTCCAACTGACGGGTCGCAGTTGCCCGGGCGCGGAATGTGGCCTTTCAGGCGTGGCCACCACCGGGCCTCAGACCTGGCCCCGCGCGCGCCTTTCAAGGGCACAGCGCCCTCCCCCCACTCCCTCTCGGTTCCAGCCCTCTTCTGGCTGATAGTTGGCCTGGGTTTGTCTCCTTCTCGGAGAAAGGACATGGGATGGAGTTTGTGGGGTGCTGACGTCAGAGAGTTAACGTCGTTTGGGGATTCGTGACAGGAACTTTGCTAACAGATGAGCCGGGTTTGAGTTCTCACTCTGCTGCAGTACTGGTTTGTGTTGAGTGCCTACCAAGGCCTTTGCATATTATTTCATTTAAACCTCAAACTCCACGAAGAATTTACATTTGAGGACTATCTATATGCCTAGATGTGTTCGACAGATATTTGTTTATTTATTTATCTATATTTCAGTATTTGTTCAACAGAGATTTATCTGTTCCAGACACATATATGGTAGATGCTGGGACTCCGTAGTAAGAGGAAACAGAAAGTCTCTGCTCTCGAGAAATTTCTAGTGGGTATGTCTGGTGGTAAGAGACTCCTGAGATGAGCAGTCCTATTGTTTCACTACCTCAAAACTCTCTGGAATATGTCGCCAGGCTTTAGTTTGGGAAACCCTTTGCTCACCAATCCGAGTGACCAGCTATCACAATTGGGGCAGAAGTCACTAAATAGAGATCTGTCGTTGGGGGGAGCTCCACAGGGCATGTGGTCCATTCCACTTTACTTTTTCCCAGAGAAGAAACTCAAGTTCGGTGAAGTGAGGGGACTTGCCTAAGGTCACAGCTAGTCACAGAATCAAGAAGAAACCAGTGGTGTCTCACCCTTTCTAATGTACTGTACAACGTGAATTTACATGATTTGAGGCACTGCAGCTATACACTAGGGCCGGTGCTAGACAGAAAAATGGGTACCAATGGGCGGTGCAGACTGGGGACTGAGAGCCTGGGCTCTACGGCCAGACTGCCTGGGGTCACCACCAACTGTGTAAACCTGAGCATTCGATACTTAGGGCGAATAAAGTACTCGGTGAAAACATCACCGAGGTATACTGCAAATGGAATCTTTAAGCTGGAAAAAGTCTATATTCTGTCAGAGAAATTAGGTAATTGTTTGCAAATGTCGACCAACACAAAAGAGAAACTCACTGATCCAAAAATGTTGCCTCTGAAATCCATGCAGAGGTATCTTCTGCTCATCACACCTGTGATCACCACAAAGCCAGCATCCTCTGACCTGATCATCAAGGCACCTGTGGGGAAACCATTCAGGTCAAAAACTCCTTGCACAGCACCTTCAGGTGCTTCCTGAAAACCCACCTTCCTGAAACCTCCCAGGATTGAGTCTAAGGGTGGTGACGACTTCACATAACTCTCCCCTTCTACTTGTTTGGCTTCAGTTTCCTCTAACAAACCCCCTTCTCTCTCTCTCTCTCTCTCTCATTCGCCTCCTGCTTCATCCTCTGGCCCCCATGGGGCACTCTGAACTCCTGGCATTCTTTCACCTGTGCTGTACATGGTTCTGTCTACCTGGACTGTCTTTGTTTCCCCTTTGCTTTGCTAGTAACTATTAATGTTTGTGGCTACATTCTTCTAAGCCTTCTGCTTTTGTGATTTAAAAATCTACATTGAGATGTCTTTCAAGGATCCAGCTTGTACATAGAGTCTGATCCTCCACTTGGATGGCTGTGTAATAGTCAGATTCATCAGTCAACACCCCATATATGTCCAGAACTTCCTTCTCTGCTCACTGATGTCACTCACCCCTCAGGATGAAGCTCAGACATCACCCTCTCTCTGGAGACTTTCCTCATCTCTCATCAGAACTGATTGTTCTTTCTTCTTGTTGCCCTTAGCACAATGCCTGCACCTCTGTTCACTGACCCTGGTCCAGCTAAGTGCACACATGCAGTGTCTTCTCCAAAGTGAGCTACTTAGGAACAGAGGGTATATGTATTTTTACGTTGACTAGACACCAATGGTGAATGGAATTTTCTTCTTATTGGGTTCAGTTCTTTGTTTTTTTCTCAGTTGGTGGCGCCCCCTACAGGTGCAATCTTTCATGGTCTGTCAGTGTCCCATCTAGAAAACTAGTCTCCAAAAGGGCCTGAAACCCATTCACACAACCTACACCTTAAATAATTGATAACAGCTTGCTGCATGCCTTCTCTTGTATTGCAAGGGCATGATTAGACTATATAGTGGTGTAATATGACTGATAATTCAGCGAAACTTCTGCCCTAAATACTGCTTAGTTACCTGACATTTTCTGTTAAAAATAATTTGTTTAGGTCTTTGCAGCCACTTCCATTTGCCTACTGCAGGATTTCCATGTGCACCTCGTCTGACCTCGCGGGCCCCAGGCAGGCAGTCCAGGCGGGAATTCTACTTCCCCTTCTGAGAATGTAGCTCAGAGAGGCTGTGAAGGCCCAACGTCCGTGCCCGGCAAGTGATGGAGCCTTGTGGGGTGACTTAAAGCCTGAGGCTCCTCTCCTACATCATGTAGGTTCAATCAGAGACCTCAGAGGACAGCAAGTGGGCAATAATTAGACACTAGCTGTATGTGGATCATGGTAGGGACTGAAACTGGAGTGATGTGGGGCAGAGGGAATGAGGGTGGAGGCAAGCCCAGAAAGAAGAGAAAGGAAGACAGCCAGAGAGAAAACTTAATTTGTCTCAAAGTCTGGCTAAGGGTTAACATTGGAGGAAGCTTCTGCAAAGTGGGGTGGAGTATGGGAGGTGCAGAGGATGCTTAAATTTCTCCAAAATAGTGTCTGCCTATGTGTCTCAATTGTATGGCAAATTCTGTGGTAAATCCTGAGAGAAACATAAGGAATGTTTAAGAAATAGTTTCTATTCTGATAACTTTTCAGTCTAATTGGGGAAAAAATTACATTTAGTAACTGTTTTTGAGTGGTTGTGTTATAAGTACTTTGTATCTTTTAAACTCTCAAAACAACTGTTATTAATACATTGTTAGTATTGTTAGTAACAACATTGGTAGTAGCAGCATCCCAATTTAAGTGACAAGGAAACTAAGGTAGGACTGAAACTCAGGTCGGTGACATCTTCTTCCTCATACCCTGTGATCTGCCTCTAGCACGAATCATTGCAAGTATGAGGAGATAGCATCAAGTGCCGCAATACATGCTTAAGACAAATCACTGATGGGGTCAGGGAAGAGACATGGAAGCAGGATGCAGGGACGTGGATCCTGCTCCCACTTCTGGCACTTACTAACCTTGTAGCCTTGGGCAACTCCTTGCTTTAGCTTTAGTTTCCTCATCTGTGAAATGAGAATAATAATAGCTGTGCTGCCTACTTTCATAGGGTGACAGTAAGAATCAAATGGGGCCGGATGGTGGCTCACGCCTGTAATCCTAGCACTTTGGGTGGCCGAGGCAGGAGGATCCCTTGAGCTCAGGAGTTTGAAACCAGCCTGAGCAAGAGCAAGACCTCGTCTCTACTAAAAATAGAAAAATTAGCCAGGCATGGTGGCACATGCCTGTAGTCCCAGCCACTAGGAAGGCTGAGCCAGGAGCATCGCTTGAGCCCAGGAGTTTGAGGTTGCTGTGAGCTAGGCTGATGACACAGCACTCTAGCCCAGCAACAGAGTGAGACTCTGTCTGGAAAAAAAAAGAGAATCCAATGGGATAATCATTATAAAAGTCACTTGAAAGTGTTGAGCAGATGGATAGCACCATATTGCGTGCTCTGACCTGCTACTTATGCTGAGCCCTTGCTTTTTGACAGTCATGCTGGCCTGAGGCTTGCGGTCAGAGTGGGCAGTGTGTATGGCACACGACTTCTGCTGCCCAGGGCCAGTCCCAATAGGAAACGCCCTGCAGTTGCTGAGGAACAATGAGCAGCTACTTAGAAGGCCACAGACTTGCATATCAAAGCAACATGAACCGATGTGGAAGTTTAGAACCTATAGGAGAGGTGATTTCTTTCCTTTACAGTCTCAGAAGGCATCTTTTCACATCTGCACAGATTCAAGGGGGAGAATTTGGCAGAAGGAAGGAACAAATCACTGTCTGCTCACCTGTTCTACCTGTTGGAGCAAGCAGGCTTAAAGGACTTTGCCTTCAGTGACAGTGGCATCTCTATGCATGTGACCTTGGAAGAGCATGAGATTTGGGGTTCTCTAGGTCACTTACTACCTGTGTGTGCCAGTTATTTAAGTTCTTTAATCTTTGTTTTTTTGTATTTAAAATGGGGATAGCAGAAACATTCACCTCATTTTGTCATCTTGAGGATGTAATGAGATAATGTTCTTATTCACCATAAAGCACTTTCCAAATGCTAATAATTTTTCCAATTCTCACTTCAACTCAACCTCTGATATGAAAGTAGAAGATTATTTGCTCTGTCCCGTTCTCATAGCCAGTGGATGATAAATAAGATGGCAGAAGAAGTCAAGCTCCTCAAAAGAAAGGTAACATTGTGAAGAAGGGGTAAAGAGTCCGCCGTGTGTCTGAAGGGAGCCTGTGGAATCTTACAGACAGGTAATTTCATTTGGTTCAGTGCAGTGACCTGAAGATCAATTATGTACTCAACTCTTAAGAACTTACAACAGCAAAATAACCAATGAATCAGATTTCACCGGAAAAGCATAATTAATTAGGAGGAAAAAAAGCCTCAGACTTTTACATCAGTGTAAAGCATTGCTTTACATTCATTGCCGAGGTAATTGCAAGTCCTTCACCAGACTTTTAATTAGCTGTGCTTCCTATCTAAATGCATTAATGTTTCCCTTTCCTTCCGAGTAACTTTTGATCTTATGTATAATTTTTTTCTTGCTTTTTTGATAATATCAATATACATCACTGATTGAACAGTACAAAAAGATTATATAAACTGAGAAAGTGGATTTCCCACCCACTACTCTGACCCTGAGTCACGCCCTTGTTAGCATTTATCTTTACAAAGACACAACACTTAGCTAGTGCCTACATCTGACAAAGCAAAATCACATTTCTATTAAAAAAAACCTTGACATTGTTTCCATGTATCTTGCAGCTTCCCAGTCATTTTAATTCACTCCAGCTACTGCTCAGTGAACAGCCCTGGCTGGGCCTGATGCCGCAGGCACCCGAGGGAAAAGGGCTGACGTGTTGCGGGCTGCAGAGGCTGTGCTCGGCTCACCCCTTGCCCACAGGGCCAGCCTGCCACAGCACCTCTCAGCAGAAGGGTCCCATGACTCTAGGCAAGTTGTGTAAGCATCTGCCCTTTCCGCCTACAGGAATCAAAATTACCCACCATAACCCGCTATCCTGAATTTTAAATCACATATAATCTTGCAGTGGAAGTAAGGGTGGCCCTCTATGAGAGGTGCAAAATTGAATTTCCTGAAAATCTGACGAGCTGGGTGAGAAGGGAAAACAGAACACGAGGTCCTTGAAGAGCCGTGTCGTCCCTTTCAGTCACAGAGTTTGGTACAATGCCAGCCACACCGTAGGTCCTATGAAATATCTGCTGAATGAAATGAGGACACTTTGGTTGCCTCAAGTATATCTAGACTGATTTCAGATTTTTGCCACTAGACTCAAACTTGGCTTCCAAGGTGTTGGCTCCTAAGTCCTGCTATATCACCTTGAATTCTGGAACCTGTTTGATATTTAGAGATAATTTTTCTCTGTCCTTCTGTCTCCTGTCAACATCCATTGAACTCATGAATAGGTTTAAACTGTTAGCTTTGCATATGCATATACAGCTTGCTATCAGGTTTAAGGACCTTTGATTCCTAGAAGAATGAATGCCTTGGCCACAGCAAAATAATTGGTTAATTTACTACAATAATAAAGAACAAGTCATAATTCCTATAAAATGTTATCTTTAGTCAGAGATTGTGATTACTTTTTCATTCCTTTATTTTGAAATATATTGAATCACTTTGCATTTTTCTGTATCCTTAGAGTCATTTTTACATATTCTTCTAAAATAGGAGACCCTGTCTTTTTCAATATCAACCCATATCCCACCCCATTATCCCTTGTTAGATGCACACAAAGGGTTCCTCATTTGGATCATAGCTACTGATTGACAGTTGTGAATTGTGATCCACCTCTCTACAAACCTGATCTTTAAAAACATTCCAGTTGTCTCATGTTGCCCATTGAGTTCCCAACGAGCTCCACTTGCTACTGATTGGACACCTCTCAGTTTCACAGAGAAGAATCACCAACTCATACTGGCACCTCTGATGCACCCAGTAAACCTGCTGGACTGAGGGATGGATGCATGGATATGACCTGGTGGGTGGATTGTGCACTAGGTGCTCAGACCCACCGAGACAGCATACCTAGACAGTGTCTTTCAATATATTTTTCCTGGGAATTTTTGCAAAGCCAGAATACTAGAAACTCAGGGTTGGAAAGAGCCCTTGAGTTCATCTATTCTCATTTTTAGGATCCAGGAATCTTCTTTACAACCTCCCTGGTTAACCCAGTCTGAAGTTTGTGAGTTAGAATCCAGTGTCTACTGATCTATCTGGCTTCTTTTCCTCTTAGACTCCCTGCCTTTTTTTGAGTCCTTGGGCAGGCCAAAGGGAAAGAGGCCCCTATTGTGGGAAGAAGGGTTTTAGTTGAGGTGGAAATTATTCATGCTTAGAAAAAACAGTAAATACTATTGGGGGAAGGTGTGACAGTATCTTCCCCTAAGGTTTAAAGTACACACATGCACACACAGGCTATGTGGCTCCTGGGCAGGACGCTAGGAGGTTGGGCTAGTCCTCTGGTCTCCCCTGAACCCTCCCCAACCCCGCTGGATGGGCACCAGGGCAATTCCCCTTTCTTCCCAGCCTGAAGCCCCTACTCACTGTAGATGGTCTGGTGGGGTGTGCCGTCCACATGGCCGTCCTTGTGGATCTGCAGGTGGTAGCTGTTCCTGGCCGTGGCCGTGTACAGGTGGATCAGGCCACCCCAGCTGGAGGCGAGCAGCGGGGAGGCGTTGGGATAGGCTCTGACGACGCTCACGCCGCAGACACTGCACAGGGCACAGACCCAGAGCCTGAGGCAGGCCCCCAGCATCGCGCACTCTGAATGGCTGGTGCTGACACTGAAACCGGACACTCCCCCCGCGGCCGGCCTGGCTGGCCTTTTCCTCCTCCTCTTCCTTGCAAGTAGCCGGTGTGAGGATCCAAGGCTGGATTCCCTCCTTTTTCGCCTGGACTTTTAAAGGGTAGCAGTGTGACATCAAACAGGAAAAACTGTACTGTCCACATCCTCTCTGTTGTAATCAGCCCATTTGAAGAAAGTGCAAAAACCTCTGAGACCTCTCGGGCGCACGGAAGGCACGTCGGTTCCAGACACACACACCCCTCAATTTCAAGCCAACGCTCCAAAAAGTGAATGACGTGTGGGCAAAAGTTATCTGTGACTCTGGGTTGTCTGTTGACCTGTCCCACTTCCACCAGGAAATGTGAAGGCAGCCAGCGGTTCCCAAAAAATCCAGCTTCAGCCATGCAGTCGACTGACTCCCAGGCAATTAATCTCCCATCGTCGGGTCTGCTCATTGTGGTTTCCTTAGTTCTGTAGCTCCCAGTCAGCAAGGACCTACCCAGTGCCTGCTCTGTGCGACCCTGAAGCTCGATACCATAGACAAGCAGCACCCCGACACTCCCCATGAAAGATATGGGAGCTGGGAGCAGGGGCACAAAACCCCAAGTTGCTGTCTTGGGGAGAAAGAAAACAAGGCCCGGAGGTCACGGAAAATGCCTAGGCTCCATTTCTGAGTTTCTCTGGTGTGGACTGTCTGGAGCAACTGAACTGGTAATGACAGTCTCTCCAGTAGCAGGGGCGCTTGTCAGAGATCTCGTGAGGACTGGGAAGGCTGCTGGTGGAGCATCGGGGATCAGTGTCCAAGACAGGGTGTCCCCAGAGTTAGTGTCTACACGTGGGTGGCCAGCTCTGGGACTGGACGCCTGTTGTAGATGCTGCCCACAGGAGTGCCTTCTGGGGAGCTCCACCTGATGGGGGAAGGCAGTCCTCGCACCTGCCCACAGGGGAGCAAGCTGCGGAAGCACAGACCAGAGAAACACACCAGCAGGCAGCTGTGCTTCCAGTTTCCCAATTACGGAGGACATGTCTTGTACAGGCCTCGAGCTAGAAATCGCGGTGGATGTAGGAGAGAGCAGGATGTGATTCCTGCCTCAAGGAGCTCAAATCTAACGGAGGAGGCAGATAAAAAGTAACTCTAATGCAAGGCCTGTGCAAACCCAGGTGCAGGCAAAAAGATGACATTCAGTCCTCTACACCCGTACAGTTTTGTGCAGTTTATAAAGCATTTTCACATCTATTAACGCATTTAAACCTCACTGTAACTTTGTGAGATAGGCACAACAGGCATTATCAGTATATTAATATCATACATGAAGAAATAGAGATCTTGGGCTTCATATGTCCAAAGTCACAAAGCAATTAAATGGCAGAGCTAGGATAAAGTCTTCCGACTCCGGAGCCTGCTTCTCCAAAGAATCCCAGTGACAGCTAACACTTACAGAAAGCTTACTAGTCCACTCACTGTTCTAAGTGCTTTACTTGTAGAAACTCATCTCATCTTCAGAATAACCCTTTGAGGAGGTGGTGTGTTTCCTTTATATAGACCAAGACACGGGTGCATACAGTTTAAGTAACTTTCCCAAAGACAGACAGCTAATGTGGAAGAAGCTGGATTTGAATCTAGATCTGACTCCAGACCTCCTAAGCACTTTGCAAGATGTCCAGACCCACACAGCACATTAGAGTTAAAGCCATGAGGGTGAGGGGCAGTAAGGCAAAGCACTCGGTTTTTCTCCAGTAAACCCAGGCATTTGCTCAGGGTATCTCTCCAGGATACATGGTACCTGTCTCCCCAGGGTTGGATAGAAGATGTATGACATTTAAATGCATATGTATAAAACAGTCTTCTTTAGTAATGGCCACAGAATGGTTCATAAATATAGTATCACATCTTAGCTAATTGAAGAAATAGCTAGCTTTCAGAATTGAAGTGCAAATCACTCAGGATCATGTGGCCCATATTTCCTCTTCTGGTTGGGATGGTGAAGAGATGGGAAGTAACTGTGAGGCCATCAGCAGCTACTGAGCACCTTCTCTGTGCAAGAGAGATGGAAAGGAGGGAGTTATAGAAATAATAAAAAGCAGGACAAATATACCTTCCAGAGGCTTAAAATATAATTGAGCTGTGAAAAACTTTGTTCAACACAAGGCACTGTGTAAGTGGAGCCACAGGACTGGGGCATGTAAGACATGCCAATGGCATTCCTAAAAGGAAGAGGTCATGGTGGGTGGATGCTGTGGTCCAGGGAGGCTTTGAGGGAAGGAGAAAATTGAGGGGCTTGGTAGCCCACATACAGGACAGGGAAAGCTGTTCCCAACACCTGCCAAGGCCTGGTGGGGAGGGAGTGCAGGTGTCCCGGGGTGAGTCCACGGCCATTCAGTCATCCACTCTGTTCCTGGAGGGATTGGCCGCTTCAGCTGGGCTTTGTAGGAAAAAGAATTTATGTGCCAGCTTACTCCATTCCCCAAGGCTTCCCTCCAAGAGGAGCCCTGAGTGCTTGGCAGCTGGATCGAAAGGCAGAGTACAGACCAGGGAAGTAGATTTATTTCTGGGAGGAATGGGAGGAGAAGAAGCGTTTCTCACTTGGAGAGGGTAAAGGAAGGTGCAAGAATCTCAGACTAGTTCTTCCCATTTAAGATATGGAAAAACTGAGAGCAAAGACGGGATTCACCCAATAGCATGCAGAGACAGCAGGCCTTCCATCCAGCTCCTGGTTGCCTCCCCACCAGTGGTCCAAACCTGGCTGCCCAGTAGAATTACTTGTGGGGCTTTAAAAACTGCAACTACCCCAGGGCTTACCTTAGTCCTACTGAGTTTGCAGGGGCAAAAGCCAATTTTTTGTTCTTTTTTAAAAGTCACCTGGGAGATTCTAATCCAACACACTAGACGTTACTGATATGAAAGTACTTATCAACAAACAGGTTTGAGTCCCAACCATGCACTGGAATTAGTACACAGAGACCAAGGCCCCCTTCAATGACCTGATCAATTTTCCTTTCCCTCCTATGGTTTCCAGCCTAACTGCAGGTCAAGATGTAAATGGGCTTTTCTAGTGAATTTTAGTACCAAATAGTAAATTGGTATCATGAGCCTATAAGCAGCCTTTTCTTTGAGCCTGGTGTGGGAGAGTGAGGGAAGGGAGAGGCCAGGGCACGTAGGTTCCCGTTCTTTGCACCTAGAGGGCACTACTCTGTCACAGTTCAGGTTGGAGGATCTGGGAACAAGTGTGACCTCAGGAGCCCAAAGTGAAACTTGGACACCAGATGAGAGCAGAAAGCCCAGGGAGGAGGCCGCTGGGTTGTGCTTTTTGGATGTCACCGTCCTTGGTTCCCAGGTGGCTGCCTGGGTGCAGAAGGGCTGGTTCCGTGATGGGTGGGGAAACCTGTTCATCTCCAGCCCGCCTGGAAGCCCCTGCTCCGCGTCAGGAGAATCTGTCCCGGGAGCTGTGCGGAGGCCTCTAGTCCAGTCCCTGCATGTACACTCATGGAATCAGGGCCCTCATGTGGACTTGGACTATAGGAGCCCGTGTTCTTGCATGTTCATTACTTTCCTTCATCTCCTGTCTCTCTCTTCAGACTCTGCTCTGAGAAGATGTTGAGGAGGATTTTCTCTCCCAGATTGTATTCTCTCAATGGGAAGACTTGACCACAATTTTCAAAAAATAACATTGGCTTGACTGTCATTAGCCTAGGAAGGAAAAATGTTGGATGGATCAAGGCAAAAGAAGAGCTGGGAGATGGGAGAGGAGGTGGTCTCAGGGCAGCTGTCTTTTCTTTTTGAGACTCTGAGCAGGGCTCCACGCTTCTCACTCTCTGACCCTCGTTATCCTGTCTCCATCATTCTGTGATGGTTTCGCCACCGTCTCACTCTCTCAAGGGACTGTCTCAGCCAGACAGCAGTGGAGGGAGGTCTAAGCCATCCAGGACGAATGGTTGTTTCTCGTTTTCTTGAAGTTCTCTGGGCGGTGCCATTTCTGTGTCTTGTCTGAAAATGGCATTCTCACGTCATCTTGGCATGAAAACATGCTCCCTAGTAGTCAATCATATTCTCCCTTCAATGTATCTACTCAGTCAACACGTAACTTTTTATCAAAAGCTTGTCAAATGACCAGCACCTTATAGAAAATCTTTAGAGAAGCTTAAGAATAAAAAGTACAGTCCTGATCTTACAATGTGCTGGGCAGAAAGCACTTCGCACTTGTCCGGATTTCACAACCTGCAGTGTATATTAACACCTGCAGTCTCTTCGGGTGCTCAGAGCCGTCCCATGGGTGGGGCTGGGAGGTGCTTGGGACGACGTTCCCCAAAGCATCCTGGCTCTTGATACGCATATTCCGTACCATAGGAATTTTAAAAAATGGAAAAACAAGCAATATTATTTTTAAAAATCTGTGTTAATGAAAAGCAAATCAATGCAGAAATCTAGGAAATAGAAAGTGAACATCCACTATAGTTTGTACCCTCTAAAAGTAAAATGTTATAAAAGGTAAAATATTATTGATTTAGGGTATACACACATATATATACTTATGTATGCACTTTTATGAGCCAAAATTGAGGGCATGCTGTATACAGAGCAAGCTTACTTTGTCCATGCCAAGGTCTATTTTGATTGTCTTTCCTGGTCAGTATGTATATCTCTGCCTTATTCCTTTTAATACTTACATTGCATTCCATTGTATCCCATGTGAGAGTGGTCAGCTCTTCTGGAGACTTTGTTTTCCTCTAAGCTCTGTCCAGAGATTTGGAGGTGGTTCCCAAGGCCACAGAACTTCATATTTATATGTATATATTTATATATATGTATATCTACACACACACACATATATACACATGCACATACATGCATATGTACATATATACACACACATACATAATAATAGCCCTGCGTGGTTTGGCCCTGGTGCCTGGGGTCACAGTTCTATGTTGCAAGAACTTACTAATTGTTAGTCTAGAACTAATATCTCCTATGGAGTTAGTCTCCTTCACTACCCTTTTTCCCTCCAAATGAGATGTTCCAATTTCTCCTCCCCAAGGCAAAATCTCCAGCTTATTTTTTCCATGACAATCTTTTCAAAATAAAGGACCATGAGATGGCTTGTCTTCAGGGCAGGCCCTGCTCCAAAACCCTGGGCAAGGGAGCCTAGAACTCCAGCACAGTGGGACATCCAGGCCTAAAAAGGGGTTCAAATCCACATAAAAGGTGGAGGTGCTTCTCCGTGGTTTGCTGGGAATGTTTTTCCCTCCTGCCACTACTGCCAATGCAGCTCAAGCTTCCAGTAACCTTGGAAAGACCACACTTGTTCATTCATAAATAGTGGCACTGATAGCTGGTAAGGGTTGCTAATGACAAGGGAGGCATCTGAGTGCCGCTTGCTGAAGCCTTTTGAAAATAAACTTTGCTTTCCAAATATGTGCCATCAAACTCTGCCACCTATTTTTGAAAAATTTTTATAAAATAGCAAATGTTTGACAGTATTTAATTTAAAATATGCACATCTGAGTGCTTGTTTACTTAGAAGTTTAAAGCTGTTCAAGAGCAAGAAACAGCCATACTGAGTCTCGGAGTTCTGAAGAACGTTGGCAGAGGTGTGAGGGAGGGTGGTGGGGAAGAAACAGATACGAGTACAAGACAAAATGATGGCTGGAAACCAGAGGCAGGAAAGCCCAGGGACTGACCGGCAGCAGGTGCAGATGAGATGAGTCAACTTAGAGCTAATTATGTCACTTGGCAAATGCTTTACACAGTGAGCATTGCAAGACATTAGGGGCCGGGGCTGAACATGTATGACCGACACTGCTATGTGCTGTCATTTGTGGGTAGTTGTCACTCGGCCCACTGTCTGAGACAGCTGCACAACGAGGAGAGCAGAGTACAGGGAGGGCACACTAAGCAAGGGACTGGAGCACAGGGGAGTTTTAGGCAGTGGAACTATTCTGTGTGATGCTCTAAAGGGGCACATGACCCTATGTGTTTGTCAAACCGGTAGAATTATACAACACAAAGAGTGAACCCTAATGTAAACTGTAACGTACAGTGATGTAAACCCTAATGTAAACTTCAGTAAGAATGTGTCCATAGTGGTTCATCATTGTAACACATGCAGCACACTAATGCAAGATGTTAACAGGGGAAACTGTTTGCGGAGTAGAGAGAGGAGGTATATGGGAACTTTCTGCACTTTACCAATAACAGCTCTGAAGAAATTAAGTCTATTAAAAAAAAGAGAGAGAGAGCAAAATTCGGCGATGATGTTCACCTCAACAGGTGTCAAAATTTCTTCACTGCCTGGAATGGTTCATTCCAGGATCAGATCAATGAGATGTGCTAAAACAGCACACAGTTCACTGTGTACAGATAGTTTCCTTTCGTTCCTTTATAATAAGATACAAGTAAATCCCTCACCCCTGACTGTCACGTGGGTCAGCCTCTCTGACAAAGCTGGAGCTCGTTTCCACTGAAATCTGTATGTGCAGCCTTAGGCACAGCTGCAAAGTGGGATGTGGCACGTGTGGACGACGTCACCTCTGAAGTGGCTCCGCGCCGGTGCACTCTGGGAGCGCGTCTGCGGGTGGAGCACCGCCTTGCCTTCCAGCCCACGCCACGGCATCACCTGCCACCCTCCATCACCTGCGCCTGAGTTACCCGCCCTGTCCACGGCATCCGGAAGTGTTTAAATTCCCTGCAGGTGGATTCGCTTCTCCCCTCACCGCCTGCCTTGCTTAAAATGCCTACACTGGATTAGAGATAAACTTAATCTAATATATAATGGCCTGTATATTATTATTATATCATATGTTTATAATAGTTTAATAATATATGTCACTATAACAGTCTCAGTCCAACAGATTTCCTCAAAGATAAATGTAAATATGTAACTGGACTCCTCATACATTCCAAAACGAAATACAAGTGGCTTCTGTAACGTCGCTGAACGCACACCCTGCTGGGTCACCTTGGCGTGTATAATCAGAAGCTTATTTTGCCATGAGGTTAAAGAACCTCAGATGCCCTCCGCTGGCAGCCCTGCCAGCCTGAAGGTCATGGCAGAACTCGAGAGCAAAGGACACAGAAGTCCCAGCCCTTGATCAATAGCTGAAGCTTTTCCTTCCCTCTCAACTCCACACCCCTCCTCTTTCCGCCTACACCCTCTTCCTCCTGGACAGGCTCTCCTGGCCCCGCCACAGCTGGCGGGAGATAAGCCGGGCGTCCCACGGGTGGGGGAGGCCCAGCCTCTGTGCATGGTCTCACGAAAGGTTCCCTTGCGGGTGACAAGAGCAGGGACAGGGCAAAGCTGGGGGACTAAGTCAGATGCAGGGGAGTGGGGACGGCTGCTGAATGAAGGTGTGTCAGGGTACGATTAGTGAACTTGTGCCCTCTGCTCCCCAAACCCGCACACGCTTCCTCAGGGGCCTCCCTGACGCTCCTTTCTTTCTCTCCGTCACGCTCTACCTCCCCCAAAAGAACTATTTTTACTTTACATTTGAATAGCGCTTTTCCACATACTTCCATGACGGGGACCTTGCTTGCCCCTCACAGAACTAGTCTACTTGGAGAGGTGCTTCCCCGGCTGTCACCCACAGGTCACCATCAACGCCAGGCTCCCTATGGCTGGCCAGACTAGACCACTGCATGGCACCTGCCGGAGGGACTGAGTCCCCAGCTCCCCCAGCCTGCATTCCCACAGGGGCGGCCCACACGCGTCCTCTTTGGGCCTTTCCCAATCGGACCCCGCCTGGAGTTTTCTGAACGTGAGGGACTCGTGACATCGGAATCCATTTCCTCCCACTTCCTTTCCTGCCAATGCCCCGACACCAGGGTGATGCAGGCTCTCTCCTAACCACTCTCCTCTGTGCGCATCACAGAAATGTGGACTCTCAGGGTTGGACGTTGGGAGTCCAGACCCTGGAGGTCACCATCCTGGCCTGCTCTCTCGGTGAGGAAGCAGAGGCTCAGCGCTGCCTTGCCCAAGGCCGTGCAGCCAAGTTAGGGGAAAGCTCAGTGCCAGAGTCCAGCTTCTGACCCTCAGTGCAGAGGCCTCCAACACGCTGCACTGCCAGCTGTTCCCTGGGACAAAGTCACTGCAAGGGCGACAGGGCACCTGGTTTCCCATCCTGACTCATGGAAGTGAGCTGACTCTTTCATCTGCCTTGTGCAGGTGTCTCATGCCTCATTTGTGCCTCTTGGGATACAGGCTGCTGGGGCAATGAAGCACGTCGCCTTTGGGCACGGGATGGCCCTGGGCAAGCAGGCCCTCCCTGCCCCCTTAGTGGCAGCACTGGCCCAGGCCAGGCTTCCCACAGCTTCCCTTGCCCTCCCCTCGGGGACGTCGACCCCCTTGAATGCCCACAAGGTAGGGCTTGAAGTCATCCCTGCACAGTTATTTTGACTCCAGCCCTGGTCTTACCCTTGCTCACGCGGGTCACGTGCGCGAAGGGCAAGCCTTGGAGGCACGAGCTGCCCGCACCTTCACAGCCACTCCCTGTGCTTTGCCGGACAAAGGGGTTCCACGGGAAGGGGTGCTGGGGGGGCACATCCGGCCCTGAAACCCGAGTCCCGCGGCCTCCAGTCATGGTGACTCTAACCATCCCCTCAGTGGTATCGTCTCCGTAGCCAGAAATTAGGCTGCTGAAGTTCAAAAGATACAGCCTTCTTCACAAATTTTTAAGAATTTACGTCTTAGTTGAGGCCTTCTAATGGTCTCTAGAGACCTCCTTTATCCACAAACTAAAATCACATTTTGGGAGGAAGGGGCATTATGTGTTTAAAATTCCAAGGTAGAGCTTCTTGAATTGTGTCCTGATTGGTCGCCTGTGGAGCCAGAGTGGCCGTGCGCCCTGAAAGAATTCTCATTCCTGTGTGGGCCCGGCGCAGGCCGGGAAGCCCTGCTCTCAGGCAGGCACACTCGCCACAGGCGTAACAGTGGCCACGGTGACCAGGTGCTTTTCCAGACCTAC